CACCCTTCCATACCCCCCCACCTCCCCTCCAAGGATTGTAAAGTTGCAAACTATTGTTTTGAAATTCGAGACGTAAAGAGTTTTGAACAATTTGTAAACTTGACTAATAAACCCTTGGGAACAAAAGAGCGATGATTGACAAAGCTCAACTAGCTCGCGTTTGGAAATCTCAATTTTGCAAAGCACGACTTGTGACCCAATCAAGAGCTCTCGCTAGGACAGGGTGAACGATACAAGAAAAAGATGCGAGTAGTACTTACAGTATAGTCAGCAGTTTCTCGCAACGTTTCAAAGTTCAACTGCTCGCAGTAGATTTCAATGTAGGCGGTGTTCACACGAAGGTATTCGGTGCATGCTTCTGTATCGTTGAAGATGTCCGGAACAGCAGGACAATCAACTCTTAAACTATGCGTATGAAATGTTTCAAAAAAAGTAAAGAAATTTACGACATTTAAAACATGGTATACATAGAAGAAGGGTTAAAGCTCTACAAAGACATACTATGGCAGGTTTTGTGCTCAATCCTTTTTATTTATAACGTCCTGGTTGACCCAACAAACTGCAAGTTAGGTTATGATTGAAGGATTTTGCTATTAAGAGTCGTAACCAAAGGGGGCGTACATTGAGAGAGTAACACCATGTTTCACTTCTGGGTAATTTTAGAAAAAATAAACTAACCAATTTTAAAGTTTACCGACGGCCATGCAGCTGCTGAATACGCCGTCTCAAATACATTCTCAGTGCATGGCTGGCGGCAGTCACACTCCAGTTGGAGGTGATCATAACCGCCAGACAAACTAGTAAGATTGGAAAGGCATTGCCTTAAAAAAACTACCTTTGCAAAAGGAAAAATCATGATAAGACTGTTAAGACGAGGTCCTACTATCGGTGACACTTTTCGCGCTACAGCAGCGTTTCTCGTCAGATGGCAGAGGAAAACGGGGATCTCCACATCCGCATTCGTCAAGCACTTTCAGTTGAAAACAATTTCGATGGCAGCCCTAAAACTTCGTAAATTAAAATCGAAGAAAGTTACAAACATTAAAGGGCGTAACAAATCAGCCATACCTCGGGAATAATGCTCGTCATAGATATATCGTTCTGGCCGAAAAGTATCACTGCATTGACCATATGGTGCATCCATTCGATGTAGGACTTTCTGCAACAATGAGATTTGTGAACAAATAAATGTAAAGGAATGTAAATTTCAAAGTTCTTTAGTATTATATTAGTATATTTGATTTCTAATCAAAGGGTTTATAGAATTAATAGGTAATTATTTTCAAGGTGAACCAATGAACTTACAGGAGTCGGTGCACTTATAGCTTTAGGTAACCAACTACTAAAAAGAAAATTTTCTAAAATATTTATTGGTGTAAATTTAACATTTTTTCCTTTGCATTTTGCAGTTTAAGAATTGTTGACTGTTAATCAAAAGTGTTTTAGCTTTAAAATTTAATTTTTATTCTAATAGAATTTTATATCCAGTAAAAAAAGCGAAGCAGAAATCCTTCCATTTAGAATCATAAATAATTTTGCAATTAACTTTGTAATTTTTTCTTCATTTCTTCCTTCACTGTTTTATCTCGAACTAACGATAAGCTCTACAGACGTAAGATAATATAAGGCGGTCAACATCCAACTATCTGGAATTTCATTTCAGTTTCAAAGATCACGTTTCAACAATGCATCACACTGCTCCACCACGTGAGGCAAACATAGAACATCTTTACCCTTTTCTAATCATTGCTCTGCTATGTGATTTTCTATTTGGTTTCTATTTGCTGCATGAATATTAGTGAATCGTCGTTAATTTTGCAGCGCAAACTTTTGACCCGGCTTGGCACCAGGGATGGCCTGGTTCAAAGGGGAATACTCTTGAGGTTGCCTCTGAAAGCGCGTACGATCTCATTTATCTTCATTCCAGAATGAATGGAAGTTTAAAAACGCGCCTTGCCTTTCTCATGCAATACGCAACCAATGCTTGTGAACTGAGAGCTGCAAACACAATTTTTGTGCTTTCGCTGTTTGCAACAATCAGAAAAAAGCGCGCATGTGTGTATCATAGAGAAAGCAAATAACTGAGTCACAGCAGACAGAATCTGAAACCAAGATGTTGTCAACGTAAGGCCAAAGAATTATTTTTTTGCTGAGCAACCCTTAGAAGTGATAAATGTTTATCTGTGCTTGCCTGCATTTTTATGAGATGACTGGAAATACAAAAGATTACGGGAACGTGATGTCAAATGGGTATTTTCAAAAACGGCCTTAAGAGATAAAAATTCAAAACTAACTGATTGTAAAAATTCCCGTAAAAAGCCTAATGACACAGTTGCCCTACACAACGCAAAATGTTTTGCCAATTTTAAACCAAATGAAGAAACGAATCCAGTAGGAGCACTATATCCGAATGTGTCTGGGAATGGTTCTTGATCCTGAAATAATATTTCAAAGCAACAATTCAATTAAGATTTGCTTGAGCCAAATTTATCCTACCTGTTCGTGCACTACAATGCGAACACCGGCTGCTTCAGTAGTCGGCATGGAATCGTCTTCATGAACGTCTAACAGTAGACGCAAACCTTAACTAGGTTGACTATCAGCAAGTAATTTGCAAGTATCAACCTCTAACTTACCATACATAGGACCAGCCCTATTATTTTTCAGTTCTACGGAACCATTGAAATTGAAAGTGTAGCAATTACCGTATTCGAGATCAACGTGTAGTTTCAAATCTCTGCAAATGGCTGGGTCTTTAAGAATTTCTAAAATGGAAGCTAATGGATCTCTACCTACCTTTCCATATTACAGTCTTTGCTGAAGAACAACGAAGAACGAACTCATTCAAAGTGCAAGAAAGATTTCGTCAAGTATCTCTGGGCAAAGCAGCGATAAGAAAGATTAGATTCTCCTTGGGTTGTGTTGTAATCGCTCCTTTGTCTTTCAATTCCTGTTAAGGTAACGTTATATATAACGAATAACTCAAGAGTTTGTAAGCTGAACATCCCTAACTTAAAACAAATCTTAAATCATCTTTTTCCCCAGAAAAATAATCTTAACAATTTCCTGAATTGATTGCAGGGAGTTTGCCTATAGTCATACTCCATGATTGTAATGGTGTTGTCGCACAACAAACTAGTTTAGAAAATGAAAAATTTGATTAGACATTGAGCGAGCAAAGCAAGCGTCATCTCATGTTATGCGACAAGTTCCCACATGCTTTTGGGAGACGAGTGGAGCGATTTTTCCTTGTCACTTTATATACATGCTAATAACAAATTAAAAGGTTGTCGCGCCATTCGACATGCAACCCATCTTTTCGGAATTCCCCTAGTTTTTGAATTTTTTCAAAGCAACAAGAAGGGGACGTTAACGATGTATCAGTTAGATGAAGTGTATGAGCAGTACGAGCTGATATCGTATTTTCTTGGAGCTACAGACAAAAACCTCCCCAATCCCATTTCTTCAAAAGTTCCTAACTTGCAGTTTCATCTTTGCAGGCAGTTCTGGCTCATGATGATTCTAAAGCAATAATTTACAGCCTGATGCAGATTCTAGTGACAATCAAAAATTGCGCCACTTACCCCATCTCTTTAGATACAATGTTAAAGTGCACCATGCGTACATTTGAAAGCTGTTATATTCTCAATTCATAAAAAAATATAGAAATATAGAAATAGAGGATTAACTCATGTCAATCACCATTCGTATAAATCTAAGTTGAATTTTCTTGCCCACAAACTCAATAGTGAGGTATTAGCTTTCACAGACTTGATAACATAACAGTTGCATTTTAGTTATAAGCAGGATCTAGAAGTAAACCATACAAATTCCAATCTAATCAGAAAATAATTGGATGAAAGAAGCTGCTTAATTGGGCTTATCACC